CAACAACATGGACACCACAAGTATCAAATGTGGAAATTTGAGATTATCCGAGCTCATACCAGGTCGTTCATCACAGATCAGATCCCTTTCGGGGACAGTTCTCCGCATGAAGGATAATTTGTACTGCAAGCTAAACGTTGGGGCGAGTCCTCACAATGATGGTACTGAAGCAGGTGTGAACGGTGTCGAAGGGCAGGGTACCAGGGACACATCAGCGCGAGAGATACAGCCTTCAGTGGGTGGCGGTGTGTTCGCCATTTAGCATAGGTACAGTCAATGAATCTTCACTTCACTTTGGCCAAAGTGTTTACTAGTAGTCATTGTCCATACTCGAGCGCCTGAATCTGGTCCTCTCTGGATCCGGAGCACTCCATTCCCTCTGCGGAGCTCGACCATGAAACGGAGAAACATCACGGTAACCGTATCCGTATAGAAGTTCATCGTTTGCTTCTATTCTCTGCCCTGTGCCATAGCCAATGCCTTGACGTTGATATCGTTCACGGTTATCCCGTCCCCTACCAACCCACTCGTTCTGATCTCGCCAGTCCCCTTCATCTCGAACATAATGATGGCGGCCGCCACTTTCTTCTCCTCTCCTGTCATCGTTGTATCCATCATATCCGCTGTCCGTCATCTGGGGTGGGTGTACATGAGGTACATTGAACGGGCCATGGAACGGGGTTATACTCGGCCTATGTTGCAAATGTTTTGGCCCGGACAGCCGACGGATGCCCAGTTGCCGTTCCATTAATGAAGCTGCGCAGCGATTCATTCTCCTGCTGCAGCCTGCCCACTTCTTGAGAGATCTGATCAACAGTTCTAGTCGTTTTGCTTGCTGCATCATACAGCAATGATACCAGCCCTCTAAAAGTCAGACTGCCGTGGAGGTCCCACTGCTTGGCAATGACGAGCGCGGGAGGGCCTTCCAGTAACGAAAAATCCTGTGGATGAAGACTTAGGGTCATAGGCGAGGACCGCCTCTCCTCCATGCGCCGCTGCTGACGCGCAGCCAACCGAATCCTTCTCAATTTGAAAGAAAGGTATCGCACTTCTCCTCCTGCCTTCCTCATATCCGCCTCTCCCGTTCCATGGAACGCGTGGAAGTACACGCAGTTAGATATATGCAGATTTGTGCTCACCATATAGCATTCCAGATGTCTTGTTAGCTTATGCACAAACTTCATGAGAGGAAACAGCATCTGGCTCGCATTCACCGACTTCACATCCTTGCATACGTCCTTCAGCACTGTAATGGTACCCTTGTCCACCAAGAATAGGCGGCCGCCCCTTGTTGCCTCGCTGAACCAAAACGCACAAAACATGGTGCATATCTCCATGCGAAACATTTGCCAAAACCTGCGACATCTTTCTGACATCACGCCTCTTTCGCTTACGACCATTTCTTCATGGTAGTAGTAGATGACCGGCGGCAGTGGTAGCGGAACTCCCTCACGGAACTTCAGAGCTTGCAGCCACTGTGGGCATTGGGGAAACATCTCTTTATACGAAGCATCGTCAAAGTACATGGTCTCGTAACAGTCGAATGGTATAAGCAGTCCATAGCGATTCCTCGTATAGCGCTCATATGAGAAGTTTGCTCTGTGCTTGAACGCATTCCACCAACGCCCCATCAATGGATCAGCGAAAAGAGGGAACTTGTGGCGACGTAGGGTATGAAGGGATTGCAACACGTAGTCCATTTCGTCAAGATAATAACAATCGAGTACATCTCTGGCGAAAGTGCGGCCGCACGTCAGTGTATTGGGCACTTCCCAATAGTTTCTATTGGCAGCAAACTGACTCCACCCTTCCATGGCCGATGCATTATCCTGCATCGCGAGCTGACGGAACTGCTTCACATCTCCTTTCTGGTGCACTGTGTGCTGCAGCACATACTTCCGAAAACCTAAATCCTGAACGGGAACCGAGTGCCAGTTGTGCCGGCCCCTCATCGTTCTAATATCCAGACCTCATGGGCTCAGGGCCATCCCTCACATTCGTGCACAATGCACGGTCTGCCCGTGACTGTACACAAGGCAGGCCTGCCCATGTAGAATCAAATGTAGGAAGCACAGGATTTTTATCCTGTACCGTATTACCTCTGGACACAATGAGGCCCCCGTGGAGACAAAAGTCAACAAGCGGTGCTGTGCACCGTGGTGTTACAACGCGGCCGGTGGGTTGTAAGTGTTCGGCGTCAGGAAGTGGGGTGCGTGGTAGTGTGTGGTCCGTTGGCGACTGCGGTGACTGGGGTGCTGGTGAGGACGGCTGTCCAGTTGTGAGGTCAACTACGAAAGGTACTGCAGAAGGCGCAGGCATGGCAGGTGTTTCCAAGTTTCCAATAAACGGGGGAGATGAGGGGTTGGTAATGGAGTCGCAACTGGGGTGGGAGTGATGCGTTTGGGTCAGGATCAGTCGTCGTAGGGAAGGATTAGAATGTGTGATATTTGAGTTGGGAAGGTGGAAGGTGAAAGGTCGGCACGGGCGGGGAGCCGGGAGGAGTGTGCACACTGTGTGATGTTTGAGTTGGGAAGGTGGGAAGGTGAAAGGTCGGCACGGGCGGGGAGCCGGGAGGAGTCGTCGTGGGGAAGGCTGAGAATGTGTGATGTTTGAGTTGGGAAGGTGGAAGGTGGAAGGTCGGCACGCGCGGGGAGCCGGGACGAGTGTGCGGCACGGGCTCAACTACAAGTACCCTCCAGTGGTACTAAATTCACGTGATGCGCAAGCCCATCAAATTTGATTGACTAGGATTTTTTCATATCTCGCCTTTAACATAGCGGCGTCGGAGCAATCTACGGTGAACGCAATACTTTTGTCCACGCAAAAAGCGAAGGCACAGAGATGTACTACAACTTTTGTCTCCAGGCAAACTTTTCTCCGCCAAAATCTGTACGCAAACGATGAGCAGATCAAAAACGATAACTCCGACGCCCGCATCGCGCCGTCGTGCGGCGCCGCCCCATCTGCGTTGCAAAGGAGGAGCAGACCCCCCTCCCATCCCAGCTCCCTCACATCCCCGAATCCTCCGAGTCGTCTGAATCCCCCGAGCAGCGCAAGGAGCGCGCGCGAAAGGCACGCATAGAGGCCGAGCGCCTCAAGCTGATGGCTGCCAGGGCCCGTCTCGAGTTCGAACGCGCAGAACTCAAGGCCGATCGCAAGCGTTTTGAGCTCGATAAGGCCAAGAACATGAAGTACATGGCCGGCACCAAGGAGCACGTGGGGGAGCCAAAACCCTACGACAGGAAGAATTCATCGCCCCAGGTTGTCAATGTTGTAAAGCAGGGAAAGTCCCAGGGCCTGTATGCGCTTACCACCACCCTGTCCGATTTTCTGGGGAGCGATTTTCCGAGGGTCAGTGAGAGCGATATTAATGTCATTAGGGACAAGCTGTGTGGCATTAACACCTTTTTCTGCACCGAGGTTGATTGCTCCCCATTTGATGAGACCTTCGTCTTTCGGGGTAACATGAGGCAACCGGCGGATAAATTGCTTGCTACGTTGGAGGACACGGCAAAAGAAGAGAGCATTGCCGAGCGCATCAGGTTGTTCCTCCTCATCGATCCCAAAGATGGGCCCGACGGCGAGGACAATCGCCGCGTGCCTGTTGCCTTGCGGGCCGCCGCCATGCCCAACCAGACCACTTCCTTTTCCTACATCGTCTCCGTCCTCACGGGCTTGGTCGCCTGCGCCACCACCTTCTCCTATGGCATCGGAATCTTCGGTCTCACGCCGGACGTCATCACGCAGATCGCCAGGGGCAGCCTCGACGAGGCCATCCTGACTTTGCCCGTTTCCATCGGCGCCATCATCCTCGCCTTCATGCACGAAGCGGGGCACCGCGTCGCTGCCTCCATGTGCGACGTCAAGATCGGCTTGCCTTACTTTATTCCCAGTTTGCAGATAGGCACTTACGCCACCATCACCCCGCTCGAAAGCTACTCCAACTTGCGGAAGGACTTGTTCGATGTCGCGATTGCAGGACCGCTCGTGGGGTCCGTCGCCAGTATCTCCGCCCTGATCGCGGGATTGTTGATTACGAGCACCGGGCAGATCGCCGACTGGTTTCCGCAAGTGCCGTCTGCGCTCTTCCACGCCTCCATTTTGGTCGGCTCGCTCGCAGATATCATCTTGCCAGTGGGTTTGAGAGAACAGGCCACCATCGCTGTACATCGGCTAGCAGTCGTAGGGTACACGGGCTTGTTGGCCAATGCGTTAAACTTGATGCCGATCGGCCGGTTGGACGCGGGCCGGATCATGCAGGCTTTGTACGGGCGGGCTGTCGCGAGCCGTGCCACGGCGATTACTTTGTTGCCGCAAGGCTTCTCATCTCTACTGGGCAACTCGCCGCTGCTTATCTTTTGGGGGCTCGTCGCCGTGTTCTTGCAGCGCGAAAGTGATTACCCGTGCAAGAACGAAGTGCTTGAGCCTGATGGCACGCGCACGGCTATCGGGGCAGGGGCCATTTGCTTGATGCTGCTCGTTTTGGTCCCATTTCCAGACCAGCTTGCTGATATTCTTGGGCGGCTCTAAGTCCTGACTCCTGCGGGGAAGATTGTACTGGTGTAGAGGGTTGTGCTAAGGTCTTTTGGAAATAGCCATCGGTCGTGTCTAGCTCTAATTTCGAGGTCTTCGCGAGGTACCGAAGGTTGACTCTCAGGAAAATATGGTGGTAAGGGTTGTTGCGTTCTGAGTCGGGATCTATTTATTGTTAAATTAAAAGAGAACACGAGATGCCTTGACTGCCCACCGCTTCACCTCGCATCTGCGGGTGTAGACTCGTGCGGCGATGGCTTGTACAAATCTTGAATGTTTAAGTTGGCCTCAGGACTGGTTGGGTCTGTGCCTTTATGCTTAGTATTGGTACTCGTGAAAGCTAGACACACACAAGTTGGGCATGAGCACTTTTTGTGTATAGGCTGAGTACGGTACAGTATTTGATGAGCTTGGTGGCTTTGCTCGCTTCTGCCAGCATTTGTTCTCTTCGAGAATGCAATCAGGACTCAAATTGGGATCTTAAGCACGATGACGAGCAAAACAAATATGAACAGCATAACGAGAGCGACAACGAGCATAGCCCACCACGATATGGAGAATGAATTAGAATAAGTCTTCAGTTCTTCACGTTGCTTTGATGTACCTGCTAGGTTCTTATAGACAACTTCTTCAGTTTCATCGAGAACTATGCTGTCTTTCTCCAGCTTGCCCTTGTTTGCTAATATGCTTTGTTTGAGCTGGCCGACAAGGCCGACCAAGTTAGAAGTTAATTCGACCTCGATAGGCTGATGGCGAGCCATAAACTCTTCATCTTGGAGTACGATGCTGCCGACGACGGTCCGGCCTCCCCCTTTTCTCCTTCGCATGCCTTGGCTCTCACCGAGTAGCTCTTTCCGGGCATCATCGGCGTCTCTCGTCAGTACCTGCTCACGCTTGAGCGTTTCCCGATAGGAAACGTCATCGGCCGCTTCCCAGTCTTCCTCTTCCATCGCAAGCTTCCTCACTGCCTCTCCTTCCCTACTGTCATCACCGGGTCCAACCACTTTCTCCTTCACGAGCTTTGCTCTAGACTCTTCTTCCATCAAAACGGCCTCGTAGTTTTCCACGACGTGAACGTACTCCTCTGCCAGACTGACTGGATCCGTGATCGTGGGGTCAATGCCAGGCCACGATGCATGCCCGCTCTTCGCATAAAGTTCCGCTCTGTGCAAGACTCGCATTGACTTTCGCTTCATTGCTTCGATGTACTCGCGCATGAGCTTTCGTTCACCTTCGGCGGAAGCGATGTCTCCCACATAGCGGCGTGCCTGAATGCCTTCAGCAATGAGATTTCCCATTCTTCGAATCTCGAGCTCCGTCCAAAAGAGCTCATTGCGTTCGCGCAGATATGAAACTTCTTCGTTGCCTCCGGTACTTGCGGCAGTTGTAGCCATCAGAATAAATCCCTCCCTTGGCAAGTGGACCCGCGCCCTCAAAAGCTTGTGGAAAATATCCGTACAAGTGACCACGGCCAGGTGAGGCGAATAATTCCGAAGACTTGCAGTGCAAGGATCCTCACAATGTTATGTGCCACGCCCCAAACACTTGATAGTTCTCCTTCGGCATCTGAGCGGAGTTGAAGGTGCATGCCCGAAAGTTGTGAGTGTAGCAGCACAGTGGGGGGTTCCAGAGGGGATAAATTTTTATTAATTTCATTTCAATCATCATCGCTTGCGAGGAATGCAGCTTGTTTCGACGTGTACAGCGCTCAGAGCCCAAGAGTTGGTTAGAAGCGTATCTAACAAGTTGTTTTCACCGTTGACACCAGGGGGATTACATACTTTTATTGGAAGCAAGTGCCTCTGGCTGAGTCGGAGGATTCGACTGCAATCCGAAGGTGTTATTCGCGAAGTGAGACAGTCCAGCAACATGTCTAAGATACCGGCTCTGCTGTTTGCGGAGGATTATGGCCCGGACGTGGATCCACGAGGATGGGTGGTGATTTACCCGCCTTACCTCAACAAATTGCGAACGGAAGCCCAGGTAAGTGATGCGATGCAAATTTAGCACGTCGTTGAATAGCTGCTTGTGTGCAGGTCTTTCTACGATTGTTGACAGATGTTGCCGTGTTATGCGTGAACTAGGGTCGCAAAATCGCGAAAGATAAAGTGCGTTGAAAACCCCACGATAAAGGAAGTGTTTGATTGCGCACAACTGCTCAAGTTTCAGACGGCCTTGGCACTGAACAAGGCGTATTGTCGAGACTCCTGGGCGAGAGGGCTGGTGCGAATCAAATTGTTCGACGAGGTCGGGAAGCTTGTGCGGGAGGACATCCCAAACCGTAAGTGTCCCTTCACATCAAATGCGACGACGTAATCTGGCAATGGACGCTGACACCGATATACTAACGAGAAAGCGCATGCGAAGGGTGGGGCCCGTGCGACAGCGAGGGCGTGGCTTGCGTGAGAGGGCGCAGAAAAAGACAGAAGCAGAGAAGGACGGGAGGAGATGCGAGGGCAGTGGTCATGGTGGATTAGTGAGGGGAAAGAAAGAGGAGGTTGGGGGATACCGGAGTAAACAACGGTGGACAGAGAAAGGCAGAGTTAATACCCTGTACTGTAGTGTGTATCCGACCGACCAAGCTTATCATACCTCAACAGATCCGACAAATTTATTAATTTTTCATCATTAAGCCGACACAAATTCTTCTGAAAGAATACTTCAAAACCGCCATATTGCACTTGAACGGCAGGGGCTGTCAATGAAATACCTTCTAAATCACGAAGAAGCCATTTTCAATTTCGTACTACAAAGAAAAACTGCTTACTGTGAAGATTTCCAGGTTCTGCTTCACTTTTAGAGGTAGAACTTGTCTCCACAACAAACGATTTATGCTGACTGTGTCAAGGGCTATGTGGAGTACGAAGTACTCAAATCAGAACTAAAAAACAAGCAAGGAGTTCGAGGAAAAATCCTTTTGTCCTTAAATTTTGTCCTCACGATCGGATAGACACTAGCAGACCGCCACTTGTGATGTAGTTATTTGGTGTGCAAAATCTAAACCGCCAGGCCTGGCGACCCCTGCACACTGTTCCTTCAACAACATCCTACACTCTCACTTCTTCCAACACCATAATCCACACGAAAATATCGGACGACAGCACCACCGTTCCTCATATGTCAGGTCGAAGAAAGCGACGTCGTAAGATGGGCACTACTTGGATGGAAAACGTCCCTAACTTGCCAGACCTGGCAGCCCTGTTCCATGACGTTCATACACGACCAGGAAGCGATCTCGATGGGGATGCAGATGCGGCCGTACTTATGGAAGCGGAAGAAACCCCAGCTCTCGAGCTTCCGGAAACTGGCCAAGCGGCTGATATTTTGGGATTGTTGAATGAGCACGCTTCGTCGAACAATCAGACTGGAGATCAAGGTACCAGATCGAAGGTAAAGGGCTCCGAACATCGAGAAACGGTTGTCGTCGAAGAAGGAATAGATCTTGTCGACTATGATGAAGGCCACTTCCCAGAACTTGGCGACTCGGAACACTTCGCTCCCGAGAGCGACCCAAACGGTGTTTTAGTGGGAAATGACAATATCATTATTCCAAGTATTTATCAAGAGAGCTGTGAGGGGATGGAGTGCCTTCAAAGTTTATCCAGTGATGATCCCGAAATGGGAAGCAGGCTGGACAGCCAGAAAGTTTTGCGAATAATTCTATCGTCTCGGAAGCTTTTCGAACCATGGTACAACCTTTTGGGCTACGTAATAGTTTGCGGTAGTGTCCGCTATACGGTCAAACAGTATTACATCATGAGAGATATACTGTCTTGGGTTTCTCCTTCTATTAAGTTCCCATCTTATTCCACCGTACAAAGGACTCCCTTTCCGCATGCTTTGAAGTATCTTTTTCCCAAGAGCGACCTCAAGTACTTTGTCGTCCGTCGAAAGAAGAAGGCATTCAACCGAACTTCATTGGTTGAAAATTTTGGGGGTAACGAGGAGACCGCATCGCAATATTCGAACGGGTCTAAAACTCCTGTTCGTATCGTTCCACCAAGTGAATGGGCGAAAGTGGACATCATGATGGCTCCGTTCTTCAACTCAATGTATCCGAAATCCAGTCGATGGCATGGTGGTGTGGCGGACGCAGAATGCATAGAAAGCTCGAAGCTGGTTGCAGAGCGGCAGATAATATCGGAAGCTACGAGAGCACTTTACGTCCACAATGGTTCATGTACTGTGCAGGCGTTCCCGGGTGCCGTGATTCGACTGGAACTGTCAAAACTGCTTCCATCACGTTTGTCACTTGACGTGTGCAATCTGGGCTATCGTGTTCATGAGAACGCAGAGAATAACTTTGTAATGAAGTGTATAATTTCAGCCGTGTGGTGCGTGGGAAGTGAGGGAAATGTAACAAGAAGCGCCAACATGGCGATGAAGGTTGTCCGTGGCGTGGAGAATTGCCTGGCCAGGCAGTTTTATACAGCACCGCCATTGGAAAAGTATAATAGATCTGTGAGGCGTAGAGATGGAAGGATAGATTTTGAAGCAAGGGCTCGTTCTTCGAAGAAGGTGTTGCCTGGGGATATTTGTACCCTCCTTCGACCTACAGAAAGTGAAGCAGTGGCAACGTCGAGAATGTGTATGTTGGTTTCTAGGTTTTGGAAACACAAGGAAGGTCTCACCTCAGACACTTTGTTTTGGTTTCAAAACATGAGTACAAACGGGGCCGGTCAGCGTTTCAATGATGGTGGCGATGGAACTCCAGACAAAACCTTTCGTCTGCTCGGTACTCAACATTTGAAAGGGCTGCCTTTCCTCCTCCAAGAGCCCAAAATATCGGGACGCACCAGCAACGTTGACAGAAGAATGCAAAACAGCGGCCGCTTAATGGATGGAACAAAGTTCGTGGTCTATCGCGCTCTCCAATACTGCGATGACTTTTCCCCATTCTCTTCATTGTATCCGCAGGGTTCAGCAGGTGGATGCTACATGATCCCGCTTGGACTACCACCGCAAAGTCGTAACACGCGATCGTCTGTCAGAATCATTGGATTAACCCCTCCAGGTGTATCAACGAACAATATACTGCTCTCAATCATTCCAGACTTGGTTAAGTGTACAACAGAAGGTGTGGAAGCACACACGCCTACCGGCGAGAGAGTAAGAATCTTTGTCGACGTGGTGGGTTTTGTGGCTGACTATCCAGCGGCCGCTGAAACATTGGATGTCATGGGACATACAGCAAATACGCCCTGCACTCTTTGTGCATTTCGGAAGAACACCGGCGTCGGTGAGAGCGGATACGGCTATACAACAAAAGTCCATGCACACCGCACGGCGTCCTTGAGGTGCATGGAACGCCATGAAGCTCTTCGCAACAGCGAAATTGACAGTCGAGACACAAACGGGCTTGGTATGAAAGACAGCAACAAGGATAGTGACGAAAGTTCTCCTCTTCTTGCATTGCAAAGGGAACTTGAGCGCGTATGCGTTGACATACCGTTAACAAGCGATGGAAAGCGTGTGGTGTCAGGACGTTTTGAGGCATATCGCTGCAACGTCGTCGCGCCTGACCATTTGCTGGCCGGTCTCGCGAAGAACTTTATCGAGGTAGGCATCCACGTGATTAAACGACAAGGAAACGCGGCCGCGTTTAGGGCAAAAGCTGACATGGCAATATGCGGAGCCTTCCGAGACAATGGGTTGAAGAGGCAATCATCAGTTTTTAGTTCCAAGAATGACCTCAATTCCATGACTCTGTCAGGTGTGTTCTGTGTCCTTCTCGTGTGCGTTCCGGTTTTCTACCAACTGTTCCCGGGAATCCAGAGTGAAGAAACCACTGTTGTGTTGGATCTATTGACGCAATTGCAGGAATTGATTGCGTTGACGTACTGGTGGCCATCGGAAGAGGCGGATGGTGTCTCAGATTATTTGTATGTGACAAGTGATAATGAAGCTCAATACCATGCAGACTTGCTGGAAAGGGCTGGGAAGTATGTGACTGAGGCGGACAAGTTTTGCGCAAATTATTGCCAAGGAGTGGGTTAAGGTCGCCCCAGTTTGGACAAGCCGAACCTGCACAGATTAATCGAGTTGTACAACCACACAATTCCTGCCTTCGGGCATGTACGTCACTTTATGGAACTGGTGTTCCAGAATGCTCATCAACCTTTGAAGAGGTGCATAGTCCGGGGTAATCACCAAAAAGGACATTTGGCGGCCGTGGGTCATTGTTTGGGGAATGATTGGCAAGGGCGCTTGTCGTTGCTGTCCAGCACTATGACACAAACTTCGGATGCCGGACTGAAGATGGAATGCAGGAGAGGCCTTCGACGCTTGCTTCTCGGCG